TTCCTCCTGGACCACCAAGGGGAGTTGTTCCCCAACAACACAGATGCCCAGGGGGTCTGAGCGCAGCCCCCACCTCCAGCCCCTTCTCTGGCAGCCCCAGTTGAACTTGGCCTCTGGTAGTAACCTTATTGGAGTCCGGGGCTCCTGCCTAGGGAGGGGCCCTGGAGCCCCAGGAGATGGAAGTTGGAGCCCACTAACTGGGCGGCCCTCCTCTCCCTCTGCCCAGCCCACCTCACCAGCCCTGGAGGCCTCTGGTATCGTAAGACATTTCCTTTGCCTTATACCTCTCACTGCCTCTTTGGTTGCTGGGCTCTCCAGACCGGGCTTGGCTCTTCTAGGACTGAGCCCCAGGAACCCCTTCCCTTTTCCTGCCTGTTTCCCTGGCAACTGTAGACTAAATCACTGCCGGCTGTGCTGGTATGGGGGCTGGTCCTCTTCCCTGATTGCTAGGAAGTAGGACAGCTGAGCTCCTTGGCTTGGGCTGGCTGCTAAGGTACCTCCCTTTCTGGTCAGTTGCTATGCTTTATAGAAGTGAGTTTTGGCCTGGGTACAAGTTCCCTATGTCTGCCCTTCCTACTAATAGGGATGACAAGACCAGAGCTGGCTTGTCTCTTCTGCCCTCTGGGTCTGTTCCTCCCCAAGTGGTACTGCCCCAGTGTGTCCTATCCCCCGTTCCTGCCACACTTGGCCTCTTAGATAGCCGGAGTCAGTCTGAGCAGCTGTTGAAACGGTTCTCTCCCGGGAGAGTCCCAGTGTCGAGTAGTATCAGTGACAGCAGCCCTGGCCCTCCGCGTCTTCTCGCCCTTCTCATGTGCACAGATCCTCAGCCAGTGGCTAGGGTGGGTCTCCCTGGTGTGGCCAGAGGGGCCACTGCTTCAGAACCCATGATGGCTCTCACGTCCTGTCTGGGTACTCTTGGAGGGCAGGAGCTCAGAAGCCCCTAAGAGGGGCAGAGGTTTTACTAATAAATCACGCTGCCAGGCAGGTTCTCACAGCTCCTTTGAGGGAATATGGTGGCCACAGGGCCCTGTTGTCTTTCAGCAGGCCTGAGCCCTGGTCGCCGATAGCTTTCCTTCTCCTCCAGTGGAAACTTGAGCCGCTCTTCTGGAAGTCTGCCCCACAGTGATAGGGAAGTACCTGCAGTGACCTGCCCCCAGGGGTGGCCAGGCCCGACAGCTCCAGAGATGTACCGGGGGCTGCGGAATCTGCACTGCCCACCTTGCAGACGAGGCCAGGCCTGACCCCACCGTCCTTCTCCTGTACCACTGTGTGTCAGGTCTCTGGTGCCTCAAGTCTGCTTCTGTCCTCCCGGGCCCCGGGGCCACACTCTGCTTTCACCCACCTTTTTGTATCAAGTGTTGCTACACTCCATTCGCTGAGGAGCCTTTTGGACCTTCTCTAGCCCATCCCCTGGCCCTGCTCTGTCGGTCTGTCACTGGGGGCGTTCTTACTGTGAATCCAGTGTTCACACTTACCATGATTTTCTTGGCACCAATCATGTATTTCACCATTTGCACTTTTTGTATTTCAATAAAAATGGAAATGGAAAACGCCCATCTGGCTGTTTAAGAAGTAAGGCTCCGCAGTCCAGAACCGAGTGGGAGTGCGCTGTGGCCGAGAAAGAGGGCCTCAGGCAGTCCCTGCCCAGTCCCCCTTCTTTTCCTACGGAAAGCTGGGCAGACAGCGAAAGTCCACTGGGTCCTTACCGAGCATGGTGACCCCAAGCAGCTGTGACAGAGGACTCACCCCACGTCCTGCACACCTAAGTCCAGCGCCTTCCAAGATCACATGTAAGTGGGACAAACTAGAGTGGAGTGGCGGGTGTAGGGTTTCCAGTGAAGAGCCAATGACTTACTTCAAATTTCAGTGATTACTGTGTGAATTGGCTCCTGCCCTTCCCTTTTATGTAGGTCCCGAGGAAAAGCTCAGGCTGTCAGACTTGGAGCAAACCCCTCACCAATGGCGACATCTCTCTAACCCTAAGGCTCTATTGTCCTGAAGGTCACATGCATGTAACACCTGCTCTGGTTAAATAAGGGCTGAGAGCTAGAGAATGAAGAGTTAAGA